ATGGAAATGTCCAGAAGATGGAAAAAGAGTTTTATGTACCACATATAACTCTTGCGAACACAATCAGCAAACCCAGTCTGCATGTCACATTTGTCCACTGAGCGCATATTGAGGGTGTAATCAATCACAGCTGCAGGTTTTAGAATGGGTTCATTGCTCTCTCTATGCTGCCTGCCAGTGTTTGTCATTTCGTTAGGGTGAACTGATGACACCAGTGTGACATCTCGTTTGTCATGCCACCGAAATGCCATGATGTCATTGGCAACAAATGCCTGCACCTCACCTCTATGAGTGCCAGCATCAAACCTGGGCATAAGTTTACGATTTGCATGCACTGTGCCACACACATCTGTCGTGTTCACTCGCAAAAAATCACTGAGTGAGGGGCTTGTGTACCAGTTATCAGTATATAATATATGCCCCTTACCAAGGTATGGTTCTATCATTGTTCTAACCACATCACCAGAGATGCCCAATAACTTCCTGGCATTTTGCAATGTATAAATGTATAACTTCCAGTGTACACAATAATATCCAATACAAGACCACTGTAACAATCACAAAGTACAAACAACTTTATACGAAAGCGTTTCCTCTTGCTTGGTATGTACTGTTTGAAAGAGAGTCTTCCTTTGAACAGAATCAAAGACTCGTCAGTTACAAGCTTCCTGAAGGGATAAAAATACATATTGAATTTCTCTTTCAGATACACAAACACATTCCTAATCTTATATAACCTGTCATTTCTGTCAGGCCTGGTTTTGTCTGAGAAGTGAAGCATACATAATAGTAGCACTCCCATTATATCACTGAAACCTGGAGTTGCAATCAGGCGGTCTGTTGACCAGTATGATTTCACGCTGTGCTTATACACATGTGGCATAAGCATTATTGTGGCAAAGAAAAGATACATCTCAGCCACAGTTGTCTCCTTCCACTTGTGTAGCCGTGAGCTTGGTGAAAGTATTGTGTTTGCCATGGTGTACTCGTAGTATCTGTTGCTTTCCCTGACAATAATTTCCATCAGGGGTTCGTCAAAGAATAACTCGAAACATTCCAGTTCAGTGGCATTGTTCCCCAGTGTACAACATGGCCGTATTCCACTTTGGCTTTTAACAAACTGGTGGGGATTTGGAACAAAATTGACAGCTTCCTGCCAATCCCAGGTGCTGTCTGCTGGTAGGTACTGGACATTGACAGGTGGTTGTGGTTGTGGAGGTTGTGGTTGTGGAGGCTGGTGTGGTGGGTGGGTGGGGGATGGTGGCCTTTGTTGTAGATCAGCTGAGGCAGCGGCGTGGGTGGCAGCGTGGGTGGCAGCATGGCCCACTGCTGGTGCCTCACAGCAGGCACCACCACTCCCACCACCATGCACATTTTCCATCCCAATTGCAACACTATCATCGTCATTTTCATTGTCTGTTCCTGTTGTACAGCCATGGGATGTACTCCGAGATGTACTCCTTCCCCTTGGAATAGCATATGGCACACTACCAGAGCACATATATCGTCGTATATAATGACGCTTCACTGGAGAATATTCCACTTCACTATCGTTACTGGAAGTGTTTTCAAGAGCTTGTAGTTCATATTCACTATCACTATCATCACCAATGCTCACATCTGAGTCTGGGATTTGGGCAAATAGGAGTTTCTTCTCAGATTCTGGTACAACTGAACGTGAACAAGACGGCCCAGCAGCAGAGGTGGAAGGCTGAGGGTCGTCTGGGTTTTCCTCACTATTACCGATATTATGGTCATTAGTTTCGGTCAAAACCTCACCAAAACCTTGAAACTCATCTTCACTGGCACTTGCATCTGTATTAGAACTGTCACTGGGGAACAAGAGTGTCCCAATTCGCCGAGGAGTGAGGAGCTTCTTACCGCGAGGCATGGTGAACAAAGCCACTGGGTCCCAGATTTTTTTTCTACCCCACACACTGACCACACACACCCATTCTCTCACATCTAGGCCTACCAGCCTTTTCCCGCAAGATTTGAAGGTGCTAGAATTTATGCATACTAGTACGTCAAAAACCCTGGCACGTAAGCCGTACTAGTACGGCTGAAACCCTGAAAGGGATAATACTTATTGCTGTGTCCTTTATGCTTAATCACGTCCCTCAGCCATGTAGGAAGACTCTCACACAAATTCTTGAGGGTTTGGGGAGGTATTTTATTCGATGCCTCACGTAGAGCAGCATCCAGCTGTGGGATGGAACTGATATCCTTACCCAGTAAACTTCGTTTCACTATTGACAAAAGGTTCTCAATAGGGTTTAAGTTTGGGGAACTGCTTGGCCAGTCATTAAAGAACCTCACTTCACAGTCCTTAAGCCACTGAACTACAGATTTGGTGGTATGGCACAGTGCACTATCCTGCATAAAAACTGTGGCCCCACACTTGTCAAATGCCTCAGGTGTTACACAATAACTCCAGGTAATTATACTGGTTCATATACTGGTTTTTGGAAAACACAATGAGTTTACCAACACTCTAAGTACTGAAACACCCCCAAACCATGGGTGTTTGGTGGTCCCACAGGTGTAGCGTGGGTCTAGCGGGTCACTATCTCTGGGCTGGTACACATGTTCACCACGGTTACAAGTAATGGTGACGGTTGCTTCATCACTCCAAAGTACTTCAGACCAGTGTTGAGGATTTCATTGAAGATATTTCTTTGCATAATCCAGCCCATTTTTCCTCTGTGGCTTGGAGAGGATTGGTTTCTTAACCTGGTGGTGACTACTGTAGCCAAGTTCTGACACACGTCTGCTTACAGTTCTTACAGACACCTCTGAGAGAAGATGTGGGTTCTTTTCTTTCAATTCTCTAGCAGTTATCTTAGAGTACTCTCTAACTGCTTCTTTAACACAGTTGAGGTATGAACAGATGTCTTCTTCAAGGCGCCAGGCTGAGGTTTGGCAGACAATATCTCGACACCACCACCAGCCTTGAAACGCTACCCCCAATTCCTCACTGAACACTCACAGATACTAACATTCTTCACTATTTCTTTTGTCTGGTGCCCATTTTGTGAAGCCCTATGTATAGCCTCAAAACCAAAGGGAACACCGGACAAAAGATGGGGTGGGTGAGAGAAAAAAGTACAACACTTCCTCTTACCACGGCAGCCATGTGAACGCTGAGGAGTCACTGTTATGTGTGGCGGCAGGCTGTGACGTCATGCTAATGGCTGCTTTCCGGCGTAATGCACTGATGAAAAAAGACCCCCCCCTGTATGATAGGCCTTTGATTTTCGTCACGGCATTATGCAGGGGCACTCGCCCGGCATAATGCTGTGACAAGCACTGTATGTAGTAGGCACAATAATATGAATGAGTATTTTGTATGTTAAGCAGGTTCAGGCTCTTAACCCTTAAACGGTCCAAACAGATCGACGTTCAAATTCGTAGTGCTACAAAAGTAGATCTACTTTTTTTTACAATTTTTCAAATACAGGGGACCCCCGCTTAGCGATCACCTCCCAATGTGACCAATTATGTAAGTGTATTTATGTAAGTGCATTTGTACGTGTATGTTTGGGGATCTGAAATGGACTAATCTACTTCACAATATTCCTTATGGGAACAAATTCGGTCAGTACTGGCACCTGAACATACTTCTGGAATGAAAAAATATCGTTAACTGGGGGTCCACTGTATAACAAAAAAAAAAGTAGATAAAAGTTTTTTTTACACATTTTCAAATGTAAAACAAAAAAGAAGATCTACATTTTTTTACATACTTTCAGATGTTGAAAAAACGTATATATACGTTTGGACCATTTAAGGGTTAAATACCCCACCACTATTTATAAGCTTGAACCTGATTAAGCACACGAAAAATAATCAAAGTTTGAAAAATCCTTAATTATGCAAAATAATGCACAGTTTAATAGAGAAAAACCTTAAATAGCAGAGTTACATGTACACAAACAACAGGAAGTGGGGAAAATTGGCGCGTGCAAAAAAATGGCACGGAATGTAAAAAATTGGCATGGCTGTGTTTGTTTGGCACCCGATTGTGTGTTCATGGCCAGTTGCAAAAATTTGGCGAATTTTTTCGGTTGTGGACCGATTTGTTCGTGTTCAGAAGTGTTCGTGACCAGAGGTTCCACTGTATGTTAAACAACCATGGTGACATTACACATCCCTGTGTAAGACCTACTTTTACTGGGAAGTAATCTCCCTCACTCGTACATACCCTAACCTGAGCCTCACTATCATCATTAAAACTCTTTACAACATTTAGTAACTTACTACCTATTCCATACACTTGCAACATCTGCTACATTGCTCCTCAATCCACTCTATCATGTGATGTATAATAAGAGAGTCCATTGTTTGAAGTTGGATGCATTATTCTGTGCTAGGGACATTTCTGAAAATAATAATATTTGTAGGGATACCAAAAGGGTTTCAACATGTAAGAAGCTTACTGCTACTACTTTGTAAAAAATTGCTATGATCTTAGAGTCCTCTCTGATGGTACTAGTGGTCAATTTTTGAAGGCATGACTCATGGCTTTGTAACGAATTGTTGTCTTTAACTACACTTGTAGTGTGACATTGTGATTTCTGGTTTTTGACCCTTTGTCATTTAAATATATACTGTTTTTCTCATTCAGATTTTTTTTTGCTTGGGCCTTTTCTTCAGATGCTTTTCTTTCAACTTTTCTTTCCCAAGTATAACAGATGAGACAGTCCAAACCCTTTCCACACACACATTTCCCAAGACAAGAAAGTGAAATGTTTTGTTGTGGGCCAGAATGTTCAATTTTAGGTACAGGTTTTAATTTTTTTTTTTTTTTTAAACAGGAATTAACTGAATTAGCTGGAAATAATCTAGCATGAGGCCACTTTGATAGACAAAAGAGTTCCCATTGAGAATAAAGTATCAAAGCTATAGATATGTTTAGTGGATTAAATATTAGTTTATTGTAAGACAGATGGAAACTTAGTAATTTATATACATTATTATAAATGTCTGCTTCAGGCCCCTGAGATGCCACCCTTTATGTTGGAGCCATTAGAAGGAGGAGCTAGTCCAAGGGATGATGGGCCAGTTACACAAGAAAATAACCAACAGAGACGTATGCGCAATGAATCTTACCTTGGAGCTGTCAATAAAGATATTCATATTCGGGCAGGACTTCAGGTATGAAGCTAATACCTGCATATTCATGTAATTCATTTTATATTTGGATTTGGTTTTATTAGTTTAAATTTTCATCTCAGAAATTCATATTTTTAAATTATCTTTTATGTATTATTCATAGATTTTTAGCAGTGCTGCATTAAATGCTAAGATAAGCCCTGTCATTTAAGAAATTTTATGCATCTAGCTTAGAGGGCATGTAATTTCTACAGAATGTTCTGCAAATCTTCATAACAAGTGCAGCAAACGTCTTCCTCCTGGAGGTTTCACCCGACTATCCACGTCTTCTTGACGAACAAGTAGAGGTGTGCAAGCACGTACTTAATATCTATCGTTACATGGTCATGAACACGCGCATGGAACAGAAAACATGGTAAATATAATATCAAGTGAAGTTATTGATATGCAGATACTTTTCGTTATACAGACTCTCCTCACTTAACGATGGAGTTCTGTTCCTAAGACCACGTCGGAAAACGAATTTGTCACTAAGTGAGGAGCATACTATTATGGTAGTGGGTTTGTGTCAACCATCTTTGATATTGTTTTAATGTCACCTTTGTACATTCATAACATTTCTGGTATACTATTAGATGTTTATACAGTAGTGTACTGTATATTGTAATAAACAGAATAAAGGAAATCAGCTCTAATATACATTATTTAGGTATGTATACTGGTCAGAGAGTCCGTCGTAAGTCCGAGTGGTCAATAAATGAGTACATCACTAAGTGAGGAGAGGCTGTACTAGTTCAACAAATTGAATGAATGTTTACTTATTCAGTATTTACTGGCTGTCTCCATTTCTATAGCAGACAATTCATATGCCTTCCCCACATATTTTATTTGCTGACAGTCTTTCTTTCTTATTTCCACCTCTACTTGTACATATGTTGTAGATTAAAAGGATTTAAATATTCTGATTACATAAAGTTATATTGTATATCTTCATTCTGTTCTTCCTTGGTATTCAGTCCTTAAACCTTATCTTATACCTAACCTCAGTGTATTCTTTTAATTTCATTAGGCATCATTAATTATTTTTTGGGTTGGGTGTAATGATACCAACACAGATATAGTGGACCCTCGGGTAATGGCGGCATCGGCTAACGCCAAAATCGGATAGCGGCAAATTTTTGCATCAAAATATTGGTGCGGCTAATGGCCAAGAACTTGGTTAAGGGCAGTCATCCTGAACGTGTCTGCCTGTCCGCCCGGCCTGAGCGCCTGAGCCGCCCTGCCTTCAGCTAGTGTGCCATTGTTTACAAGCCAGTGTGGACGATTCCACATTGTTTTTAGTGCTTGTAATTGCTAAATAAACCACCATGGGCCCAAAGAAAGCTTCTAATGCCTGTGGTAAAAAGTGTGAGAAATACTATTGAATTAAAGAAAGAGATAATTGCAAAGTACGAAAGTGGAGTGCGTGTCTCCGAGTTGGCCAGGTTATATAACAAGCCCCATTCAACCATGACTACTCTCTTGGCCAACAAAAAGGCAATCAAGGAACTGTTGATACGAAAGGTGCAAGTATGCTTACAAAACAGAGATCGCAAATACAGTGGACCCTCAACATTCGATACTAATCCGTTCCTGAGAGCTATCGAATGTCGAAAATATCGAAAGTCGAATTAATTTTCCCCATAAGAAATAATGGAAATCAAATTAATCCGAGCAAGACACTCAAAAGTATGGAAAAAAAAATTTACCACATGAAATATTAAGTTTAATGCAATAGAATAATTACAATAACAATAGATTAATAGCAATAGAATAATTGACACTTACCTTTAATGAAGATCTGGTGATGATTGATGGGATGGGAGGAGGGGAGAGTGTGGATGGTGTTAGTGTTTCAAAGGGGAATCCCCTTCCATTAGGACTTGAACTGGGAGCCTCACCATGCCTTACCACACTGTGTATGCCACTACGATTCTTAAATCTTTCAAACCAACCTTTGCTGGCCTTAAATTCACTCACATCACCACTAGTTGCAGGCAATTTCTTTACCAAATCATCATGCACTCCGACACATGCACTCCACTTTCGTACTTTGCAATTATCTCTTTCGTCATTTCAATAGTCATTAGCACCTTTTTTCTTGAAGGGTTGGCACTAGAAGCTTTCTTGGGGGCCCATGGTTACTTATTTTGCAGAAACAAGCACCAAAAACAGTGATAATATGGAATGTACCGAATGTATCCTTAGATGTGCGCATACTGGCTGGCTTGTAAACACTGGCACACATGGGGCAGTTCAGGCCACATGTGGACATGTCTCGTACGAATCGTATCGAATGTCGGGTTTTCCATCGAATGTCGAGGCGAAATTTTTGCGTTAAAATGCATCGAATGCCGGATTTATCGAATGTCGGGTCCACTGTACTCGAAGATGTGGAGAGACTGTTGTTGGTGTGGATAAACGAGAAACGATTATCTGGAGATAGTGTTTCTCAGTCAGTAATATGTGAAAAGGCAAGGCAGTTGCATGATGATCTAATTAACTCTTTCACTGTTTCGGCCGTATATATACGTCTTACTAGCCAGTGTTTCGGATGTATATACAGTGGACCCTCGCCTAACAAACGCATCGCATAACGATAAATCCGCCTAACGAAGTGTTTGAGCGTAAAAATTTTGCCCCGCCTAACGATAAAAAACTCGCCCAACGTGATTCATCCGGGACCTGTCCACGCTGCCCCGTGGGTGCCAGTGTTTACAAGCTAGCCAGTGCAGTTGCATCTACGCATACATTCAGTACATGTCACATTATCCCAGTGTTTTTAGTGCTTGTAACTGCAAAATAAGTCACCATGGACCCCAAGAATGCTTCTAGTGCCAACCCTGGGGTAAAAAGGGCGAGAATTAGTATGGAATTGAAAGAAGAGATTAAGGAAATACATGCAAAGTGGGTTGAACTGCAAACCTTTATGGATGAAAATCACAATAACACAGCTATTGCAAGCCGTGCTGGTGACTATTACAATGACAATATTGTGGCCCAATTTAGGCAAATTTTAACGGAACCTGAGGTACAGAGCTCTATGGGCAGATTTGTTGTGCGACAGAGGTCTAGTGACTCTCAAGCTGGTCCTAGTGGCATTACAAGAAGAAGGGAAGTAACCCTGGAAAAGGACTTGCTACCTCAAGTCCTCATGGAAGGGGATTCCCCTTCCAAACAGTAACAACTTCCACCATCTCTCCTCCTCCCATCCCATCAATCATCACCAGATCTTCAATAAAGGTAAGTGTCATGTATTCTTTATTTAGTAGAGCAGTAATTGTGCATGTCTTCTTTTTGGGTGCATAAAAATGTATATTTCATGTGGTTAAAAATTTTTTTTTTCATAGGGGTGTCAGGAACAGATAAATTTGATTTCCATTATTTTTTATGGGGAAAATTAATTCGACTAACGATAATTTCAGCTAAGGATGAGCTCTCAGGAATGGATTAATATCGTTAGGCGAGGGTCTACTGTATACTCAATAATTCTAGCGGCTTCAGATCGAGCAGGAGAAAGCTGGTAGGCTCACGTGTGAGAGAATGGGTCTGTGTAGTCATTGTACACTACTTAAAAAAATCCTGCACCACGCAGTGCGTAATGAGAAAAAAAAAAAATGGCGTTTTTGGATTAAAACACCAATTTTGAGGTGTATTTTCGTATAGTATTTATGGTTGTATTCTCGTTTTCTTGGTCTCATTTGATAAAATGGGAAACATATTACAGAAATAGAGGTGATTTTGATTAGTTTCATGATGAAAACAATCTTGAAATTGAGCTCAAAGTAGTGGAAATGTTCGATTTTTACCAATGTTCAAGAGTAAGCAAATCACACCACATGTCCAATACACATCAACTGGGGAGTCTAATATTCTTTTACTAGTGCATTGATCTTATTTATACCATTTTTATAATAATGCAGTAGTCTGCATAACAGTAAATCTTCTATTTTTTGTGTGAATAAAAATTCAAAATAGAAAGCAAGAGTAATGTAATAGGGGCCTGGAGATGTGATTAATGAACAGAGGATATGTTATTTTAGTACCAAGAATGTCTGCATTGTTTATTCTGGACACTATTTTGAAATTGGCATCTTTTTTAATTTGCATGAAATTGGCCAAATTGCCAATTTCTGACCACTTTATTGGGGAGTTGAAATCAGCAAATATGGGGTTTCTTTTACTCAGTTGATAGAAAAAATGGAGTTCTAAAGAAATAGCTATGAGTTTGAACGACTGGAACAATGGAATTGGCTGAAAATAGGGTTCAAAGTCGGCGAAATCGCTGATGCATATATATCGGCGAGATCGCTAACTTCGCAGGAACGTAATTCTGTAAGTTTTTGATCAAATTTTGTACTTTTGGTGTCATTACCATCGGGCAAAGATTCTCTATCATTTCATAAGATTTTTTTTTTTTTTTTTTTTTTTTTTCAAAAAATTTTGCAGCACCAGGAGACACTTTCGGATTTAGGGTTATGCCAGTCAAAGGGTTAAGAAAATGCCAGAAACTAGTGCTGATGTTAGTGAATTTAAGGCCAGCAAAGGTTGGTTTGAGAGATTGAAGAATCGTAGCGGCATACACAGTATTGTAAGGCATGGAGAGGCTGCAAGTTCTGACAAAAAAGCAGCTGAAAAGTACGTACAGGAGTTCAAGGACTATGTAAAGGCTGAACAATTAAAACCCCAACAAGTGTTCAGTTGTAATGAAACAGGCCTGTTTTGGAAGAAAATGCCAAACAGAAGCTACATTACTCAGGAGGAAAAGGCACTCCCAGGACACAAGCTTAATAAAGACAGGCTAACTCTCATGTTTTGTAGTAATGCTAATGGGGATTACAAAGTGAAGCCTTTACTCATATATCACTCTGAAACTCCCAGGGTGTTCAAGAAAAACAATGTCGTCAACACAAAATTGTGTGTGATGTGGAGAGCAAACAGTTAGACGTGGGTCACTAGGGACATTTTCCTTGACTGGTTCTGTGACGTGTTTGGCGCCACTATGAAAAAATATCTGGAAAATAAATTGTCGCTCAAGTTCCTCCTGGTAATGGACAATGCTCCTGCTCATCCTCACGACTTGCAAGAGCAAATTGTGGGGGAGTCGAGCTTCATCAAAGTGAAGTTTTTGCCTCCTAATACCACCCCTCTCCTCCAGCCCATGATCCACCAGGTCATTTCAAACTTCAAAAAACTGTACACCAAAGCAGTGTTTCAAAAGTGCTTTGAAGTGACCTCAGACACTGAATTGACCCTAAGAGAGTTCTGGAAAGATCACTCCAGTATCCTCAGGTGCTAATAAACCTTATAGGTAAGGTTTGGGAGGGAGTGACTTGCAGGACTTTGAACTCTGCTTGGAGAAATTGTGCCCAGAAT